AGATTATTAAACTAAACAAGTTTAGTTTTTGAATGAGTTAACACTAAAAGCTAATCTGTTTAAGCTCTCAATTAATTATTATTAATTTATCACTAGCTATTTCAATTCTTTCTATTTTGATGAAGTCCACTGAAACCCCCAAATATTTGGGGAGTGGTCAAATGTTTGGTTAGAGTACATCAAAATTTCCCATTCGAATAGCATCATACTTTACTTTTCGGGGTACGACAAAACAAGTTCTTCGTTGCATCGTTGATTAACAACGAAGAAGCAAACTATTAAAATAATCAAAGTTTGTTTTTTGGCAACATAAAATCCACGCAAATATACAATAATTTGATTTAGGCTCTTGAGATCACAACGCATCGTCCTAAAAGACGAGCGACTCATATGCATCTGTAGACTCTACAACCAACAAATTGGAACGGCAATTTTTAAAATCTAAAAGGGTATCAAAAAAGAAGTTCTTCAAGGGTGAAACCAGTCACAGGAAACCAAAGTTTCATCTCCTGGAAGGAACAACCCCACGAGTCGCACGAGAAGTAAGATACAATTCATTCTGTGTGTGTGTGTGTGTGAGAGAGAGAGAGAGAGAGAGAGAGAGAGAGAGAGAGAGAGAGAGAGAGAGAGAGAGAGAGAGAGAGAGAGAGAGAGAGAGAGAGGGCATAGCTAAAGATGAGTCCAATCACAGTTTCCAAATAGAGGTACCAATGTAGGGTGACAACAGATCAAATGATTGTGTCCAAATCCGTTAAGGATCAGACACCACAGTGCAGAGAGAAAGAGAGAGAGAATGGCCTGATGGTACTAGCTAGGGTTTCAAATCCAACCACGTCCATGCATCAAATAAACCAAACCAAAAATGTTGGATTGAATTGAAGGAGAGCGAGTGCGTACAACATATATTTTGTGGGGTTCTTGGGAAATTCGATTTATACCAACAAAGCATGCTGTAGAAATCAAGCGTGGGAATGGCTTTCTTTCCAGTTTTGGCAATCCAGGAATTGTCCCATCATGTCCGTAAGTACTCCCTTGGTCCCCAGTTGTCATGTGATTTCAGCACTTGTCTCTGTCATTTTCCTAAACATTAAAGTTGCTCACTCTAAAGTGGAATGGATCAAACATGAAAAACCCTACTCTCTCTCTCCAAAAAAATTATCTAAAAAATCCTAAATCTATTACACTTTTGTCAATTCAGTCCTAAACCTTTTAAGTTTACCAATTCAGTCCCAAACTTTTTAAGTTTGCTAATTCAGTCCTAAACTTTTTCACTTCTTGTCAATTGAGTCCATTCGGCTAATTTTGGCCGGCTGGCGCTGACGTGGCCTCCGGCTGTCTGGCCAACGCTGACATGACAATTTTTAAATTGTTTTTCGGATTTTTTAATATTTTTTTCTGCATCTCATCGGCCTCTGGCGAAGTTCACCCCTACCGGCCATTAGCGAGGGTGAGCCTCGCCCGTCGATGCTAGGCCGACCTCGCCGGATCTGGACGAGGTGAACCCAACAACAGCGAGGCTCGACCTCGCCGAATTTGGGCGAGGTCAAGCCTCGCCTAGCCAAGGCGAGGCCGGCCAGCGTTGTCGCAAGTTGGCCTCGCCTTGGCTGGGCGAGGCTCGACCTTGCTTAGATTTGGCGAGGTCGACCTGGCAGTGGCGAGTGAGGCTCGCCCTCGCCAGTGGCCGGCGGTTGCGAGCTTCGCCAGAGGCCCGGACCGGCCAGAGGGAAGAAAGCAGAAAAAAAAATTAAAAAATTCGAAAAAGATATTAGAAAAATTGCCATGTCAGTGTTGGTCGGTCGGACGGCCGGCGCCGGTTGGCGGTCATGTCAGCGCTGGCCGGCCAAAATTGACCGGATTGACTCAATTGACAATAAGTAAAAAGGTTTAGACTGAATTGGCAAACTTAAAAGGTTTAGGACTGAATTGGCAAAAGTTCAATAGATTTAGGACTTTTTGGATAATTTTCCTCTCTCTCTCTCTCTCTCTCTCTCTCTCTCTCTCTCTCTCTACTTTGTCATTTCCTTCATCCATGCATTTTTCTATTCAATCGGTTATTACACGTATTTTGTGTTTTCTTTTTGGGAAAATACCACTAAAAACCCCAAACTATGCCACTTGTGACAAATTTACCTTGAACTTTTTTATGACACGAAAAATCCAAAACTATGTCACTTGTAACAAATTTACCTTGAACTTTTTTTTTGTGACACAAAAAATCCCAAACTATGCCACTTGTGACAAATTTACCCTGAACTTTTTTTTGTGACACGAAAAATCCTAAACTATGCTACTTGTGACATATTTACCCCACAATACTTTGACCCATGGGCATTTTTCGTCTTTTTCCTTTTTCTATTTTTTTTTCCTTTTTTCTTTTCTTTTCTCTCTTCCCTCCGCTGTGGCCGGCGGAGGGAAGCCGGCGCCGGCGAGGGTCGTCCTTGCCAGTTCCGGAGAAGGTAGCCCTCACCGGCTTCCCTCCGCCGTGGCCGGCGGAGGGAAGAGAGAGAAGAAAAGAAAAAAAAAAGGAAAAAAAACAGAAAAAGGAAAAAGATGAAAATGCCCATGGGCCAAAGTATTGTGGGGTAAATGTGTCGCAAGTGGCATAGTTTAGGATTTTTCGTATCACAAAAAAAAATTTAGGTTAAATTTGTCACAAGTGATATAGTTTGGGGTTTTTCATGTTACAAAAAAAAGTTCAGGGTAAATTTATCACAAGTGGCATAGTTTGGGGTTTTTGGTGATATTTTCCCTTTCTTTTTCTTTTTCAAATGATGGTATATATAATATAGAACGTGTAAGATCTGATTATATCTTCATGCTTAATTGACTTCATGTAATATAACAAAACTATCAAGAACAATTCTCGCAGGTGATGATTCCGACCTCTTCAAATCATTTCTACTCTCAACCGGTCTTTTCTTTAGTATCCAAGTGGAAATCTCTTGCTAATTTTGATGTTCATTCATGAGCTTTCGTCGTTATCTTTCTTGCCCCAATTGGCGCAATCGACAAGATACCTTTGCCAAAATGGTTCTCTCCAATTCGGCCTATCGTCATGCCTAACTTGAAGATGTTTGCGTTAATACGGCACTATCTATAGTGTCGAAGATTAACGAAAGGAGGTTCATGGAGTTCGTAACGATTGTGGTTGATGCACAGTGATTTTTCTTTCCTTTTTCTTTCCATTTTGCTTTATATATACACGACGACTTTCACTTATCAGAGCAGGTCGCGGCCTATTTTTATCTGGGTTCCATTGATGTGATCGACAGGGGTTTGACTTCGTGCATTTCCAATCACCTCCTACTTCTTCCTCTCAGCAATCGCCAATCATTACAGGATTTCTTCTTATGCATGGTTTTGTGCTACCTTAACTTCATATATCTAGAATTTCTAGACGCAGTAGCATTTTCGCGTAATTCAACTTAGCTAGCAAAACATAGGCTTTCTACATCCATTTTGGCCATAACTATTGTGTGTGTACTTTGATCATAGATCAGTGTAGATACATCCATGTTTGAGAGCATCGACACAAACGACATCTTTCCTTCGTGCCAAAATGTCATTGAATCGTAATCTTATATAGCCTTGGACGATAGTCGGGCTATCATTGAATTCGCTCATCCCTTTGATTAATCCTCTTGCCACACTTATCCTAGGATACATGGCTTTTGACATAGCAATATTATGTTAATAAACGGAGGTATTGCATGTCATTTCGCAAAGTGACTTGACAACATGCAAGATATATCTATGTATCAACCTACTCCATCAACCTAGAATAAGTCCATGTCTGATGAATATTACAAGGAGAGTAATTTAGAATGTTGTGAATGAAAATGGGAAATAGTTCAATATCCCACACTAACATTTGTGTATGAGATAGAAGTTATATGCGAGAGATATGGTTGCATGAACTACCATGCCAACACAATATTATCTTTGGATGAATAATTATATTAGATATTAAAGTATTAGTAATAGAAAATATATAGTAGAAAGCAAATTATTATTATTATTTTTTGATAATCGAGGTGTCCGCGCGGCCGGCGAGCTAGGGCTCAAACCAGCGGTGATGCCCGACTAGTCCTCGAGGGGGGCTAGCGCAGCATCCCACCGCCACAACCCCCCACTTAAATCACCGATGGGCGAGTTTGAACCCAGGACCTCTCGTGAAAGGAACTGAGCGCAAACCAACGCGGCCACCGATGGGTGGGTATAAGTGGCATATTATTTTGTTACATGGTGGCTTCAAGAATCTCCATCTTTGATAATTTAAACAGTATAATAAGTGGCAAATAAGAATAATATGCAAGTTATTTTTATTACTGTAAAGAGTAATTGAAAAATTATTATCTCCTATCAATTTAAAAGTGAAGTAGTAAGATAAAAGCTGATGATCCATTCTTATTTTTCTAATATTATACATAAACTTAGGGAAGAATTAAGTGACAAACTCGAATCCGTGCATCTCGCGAGTCTACCACTTGATAAATATACGTAAGACATTGTGAGGTACATTCGATGTATACTCTCATCCTCTCATACGCGATGAGGATCTTACTTCTATGAGAGGAACAACATATACGTCCGTCATGCATAAAATCTCACCATACGTATATTTAAATAAGATAGCAAACAGTTCTCATTCTACTTCATCTCAATATCGGATGGAACTCAACCTTATTTAACCAGCAAGTAGTGATGAAATCTATCTGACCTATTAGTCCCCAAATTGTCCCCCAGAGAAATCCATCCCTGTAAGAATCGCAAGTAAAAAATAGAATTAGATTAATGGGGGGTAGTGTTTGCATTGACATTATATTACAGAACTATTACGATTCTGCGTCTGCGTGTGCATGTGTGGCAGGAAAACATCGTGAGACTAACGAGGGATGCCAAGTTTTTGGAGCATGGACTATTTAGTAAAGTAGAAGTACCCCAAGAGGAGCAGGAGGGAGTCATAAGTGCAAAAGACCAAAAACCAAGTCCCCGTGCAAACTTCCGTATCTGCAAATCGCAGTGCAGGTACTATGTTATGACCTGGTGTTCATAAACCCTGGATTTTCCTTTTGACTCTTCTCCCTTCCCCTTCTGCTTCCCTCACTCACTCACTCTCTTCTCTCTTCTCTCTTCATTAATATCATTACATAGCCCCTCAAACCCTAGCTCTCTCTCTCTCTCTCTCTCTCTCCATAGATATATTTTCCTCTTGTTGGGTTGGAGGAGTCGTGAATCATATGGAAGACAAGGCGAGCATGGAACTCCCGCCGTCCGAGCATCTGTGCTATGTCCGGTGCAACTTCTGCAACACCGTTCTTGCTGTATGTCTCACCTAAATTAATCACTTTTCATTCTAACTCTCATTGCCAACTTCATGAATTTATAGCTTTATGAATAGAGAGAAACAAGCTTTGCGCTTCCTCTCTACACCAAGAGCGAATGTTGTTGCACTCCTATACTTTCTTTTTTTTGGGATCAAGCTATAAAGTCCACAAGATGAGTTAATGAAGTCATGTCTAGAGAGCATTATGTCTTGTAATAACCGAAGGTTTTATTCTTCTTCTTCCTCTTCTTCATCAATCTTGAAGGTGGGGATTCCATGCAAGAGGATATTGGACACAGTGACGGTGAAATGTGGGCATTGCAGTAATCTCTCGTTCCTCAGCACCAGGCCTCCCCTTCAAGGCCAGTGTCTTGATCATCCTTTGAGCCTTCAGGTCCATTTCTTCTCCTCTCTATCTGCTTCTTTCTATGCATCTCCCGACCGCAAAGAATGCCTTCCATAAGCAGTCCTAATTATATCTTCAGCAACATGTCCGTTTTAATTTAGTATAGTAACTCTAATTCCATGGATGATGCATCAATACTGCGTATATGTTGCTCTTTCTAGCACCGCTTACTAAAATCGATCTTTTAACATGTCAAGTTTTGTATCGATCATTATAAAACTTATTCGAGGCTTTTATTATAAGTGATACCGGCATACGTGTTTGTATTGTTGGGGAAGCAGGGGTTTTCCAGTGATTTTAGGAAAGGCCAGTCATCATCCTCCTCGTCCTCAACTTCGGGCGATCAGCCATTATCACCCAAAGCCGCCCCCTTTGTCGTGAAACGTGAGATCGACCAATATAATCATCATTCCACTTCGTTTCTTTCTTTCATTTTTTTTTGGCCCAGCGAGTAATGTAAGGATCGTTAACCTTTTTTCAGCTCCGGAGAAGAAGCACAGGCTTCCATCTGCTTATAACCGGTTCATGAAGTAAGCATAGATATGTTTTTCCTCTCTTTCTAATTTTGCTCCTCGACATATAGAAAGCAAAAACAGTTAGCGAAGAACTTACCTAATATGTAACTGCACGTAAAATATATGAACAATAGAGAGGAGATACAGCGCATCAAAGCAGCGAATCCTGAGATACCACACAGAGAAGCATTCAGTGCAGCAGCCAAAAACGTAAGCACCTTTTCATGACACATCTGCACGGTCCCTAGCCCTAACTTTCTAGTGAGATTCAATCCTTTCAAGGAAAACTATTTCATTACTATGAAATTTTCTATCTTAATCTGCCGTTTTGTTCTACATAGTGGGCGAGGTACCTTCCACATTCGCCTTCGGGATCGGCTTCTGGCAGCAGTAACCATGTAAGCTATCATCCCTTCCTACTTCTGCTTGGTACTATTTAAAGGAACTGTACATTAAAAAACATTTATTAAAGAATTTTATTTGCTCAATAACAGTGCCTAAGAGATAGGTCATTAATAAATTAACTGGCTACAAGCTGAGGAAAATGTGGGAATCAGTTCTTCGCCCAATGCCAAAGAAGAATTGTATACTGGTCTCGCATGAAGTTTTTTAGGCGGTAATTTATTGAGAGACTGATACCTAAATTAACTCTTATGACATGACGAATGATATTTAACTTCAGATTAAAAATGATATTCTGCGATACTACTGATTACATGACACATTTTAGAGTAAATCAACTGTGGCGATTGAATCACTATGTGTGCAATGAAATTCCAGTGCTTGGATAAACATAATCCTCCAATGACTGTGGCATGAGTAATCAAAATTGTAGAAACTAGACAAAAAAGAAGAAAATATGATGTGAACATTAATAAGCTCTCTAGATGGATATCGAGTTTTATTACTTGGTTAGTGATAATAAGTCATTCTCTTGGTTACAGGAATGAAGAGAATTGCAGTCACAAACGGCATGACAGAGGATATTTGGAGAGCACGAGGGCATATCGGATGTTCCGGTATGCTGATGCTGTGTATCAACATAAGAGGAGCCGTTGTACTTTCCTTCTTCTGCGTCCTTTTTATTTTGCTAAATAATGAGCTACTAGATCGAGCTATTTTAGAGTTATCTAATGTTGTGATATTAATTAAGTTTCTATGCGTATGTGAAGCTTTATGTTTTATCAGTCAATATAGTATCTTAGACTAGGTCCCTAATTAGCTCAAATTTATTTCACACATACCATCAACTTAAGGGTAACCGTGTGAAAATTCATTTAGAATGACAATCAATTAACCTAGCTAAGAAAGTTCTTTTTCTTCTAAGAGTTGGGACACAGTTCATGCTGTGGCTGATCCAATTAATTTTGAGGAGGAATGATCAGTGCCTTACAGTTCACTCACTCATAACCTTGTATATTGGGGAGTTTAACAAAACATGGAATGCTTAAACAAGCATTAATGCTTAAATGTGGAATTACTGGATTCATGATTCGCAGAGAGACTTCAGCTGTATAGGATCAATTACCTGACTGATAAATACTTGGATGATTGTTCTAAAAGACGGTCGAGAAAAGAACTTTCTACTGACTACTTATGCATAAATAGTCTAACAAGCTTCACAAGTTCTTGACGAAGTGTATGAAAATCACTAAGTATTTCAATACTGTTATATGCAGTCCATAGGGTGCTTCGACCTTTGGAAATGTGTGGACTTCCGTTTCACCAATTTCTTCCCATCTACAATGAATGTTACCAATTGAAACTTGTAAGAATGCCAGAACAAAGGGATAGCTGTGTATGTTATCGAATGTTTGAAAAACCGTTGCAACACCGGATATAGATATGTACTGAAAAACAAAAGACAAAAATTACTTTAGGTACATTGAAGATCTTATTTTCCACAATAAATTTCAGAAAATCCATATGACCATATGTATTCCTAGAAGATCCCAAGTCAGTATAGCGTATTTGGACGACATGCCGTGTGTAAGTTAGGGTTTTGAAAAAAAGAGTGCATTATGTTTGAAACCCTGTCGATTACATGAATCTTTTCACATAAATAATCTTATTCACATGATCACTCAAATTGAAAAATAGACATTGTTACTATTTTAACACTGTATGTACAAAAAACTAACATTTCCCACCTTACGAGTACACTCTAAGAGTCCTAAAATAAAATGACAATGACTGATAGCTTAGAGATAGTGATCAAGGAGTGATGTAGTTTAATTACCTGTCTTTGTCAAAATGGAAGCGGCAGTTATGAGATTCCAAGCGCTTATCCTGCGTTATTTCAGAAAGAAAACTCAAATAATGAAAAAAAAGCATAAAAGAAACTTAATTAGTGCACTAGAACTTGTCGATCTCAGTTCAAAGAATGCAATTTGACCAATCGTCTCCATGGTTTGAAGCTAAAATGGTTCTGGATAGAGCGACGGGTCATAGTTGATCTCTCTCGTGGAGATGTAAATAGTCCATCCTTTTGGAATGACAGATGCTGCGCATTCCAAATATAAACTTGTTACAAATTTACCAAACATGCTTAATTTTTTGAAATTAGAGAGTTAAAAAGCTGTTTTATGATCAAGTCCAAAGAATACTGAGGATGAACTCTCTACTTAAACCATCCTATATCAGTCCAACTTGCTTTGCTTGCGAGTGAATAGTGTTGTTTAAAATGGAAAATGCAAGCGATCGATCGAAAGAGAATTTAAGAGAAACGATAAAGCAATAGTACAGAAGTTTGCTTTCGAACATCCTTAGACAATTTATTATTGCACCTCTCAATTCGAGTCTTTAGTGGTTTTTCTCATCAAACCATTCACTATTGGGGCCAACCTTGAGGTTTCCAAGATAACCTGCATGGAATTAGTGTCAATAACTTAAGAATTTGTTAAGTAGTTGATTAAAAAAAAAAAAACCGAATCAACGTAAACTCAATTCGCCCTTACAGCACGAGTGAAATTCATAGATCTGTAATCATTCCAATTAACTGCTTCCTCTGGTCCTTTTGTTTCCTGTATCACGAAATGCTCTTCCTACACGAAGAGGTTTTTCGAAAAAGACAAGGAAATTATAGTGATATGCATTGCAAATATAATAAACGCACAAAAGATTTTCATTCTTACTCGCATTTGTTGAAGAGCGCTAGGGTGATCATGCACACTGCTTCGTAGCCTTGATATAAGACGGTAATGATCTGATCAAATATCTCGTCGTCGTTAAGACTGTATCCCAATTCGTCATTCATAAGGTGATGTAACATGTCGTCGTGAGATGCTGAAGCAGCTCTTCTTGCCTGAGACATACCGATGACACCTTTTCTTGCCTGAAATATATGGTCAAGCAGTTAGTCAAGAGTCTGTAACACCCAGTGATTGGTAAACAATCTCCTCTGCTCGTCAATTCTCTCTACGAAGCTGTCTTCGATCATGTCTGGGCCGACTAGAGATAGAAGGGCGCCTCTCACGCGCTTGTGCGCAGCGCCAATCACCGAAGCAACGTTTAGATTTTCGACCATCTTCGCATGTGATTTTGGGTAACCCGGCACGAGCCCTTTCCCTTCGTTCAGAAGGATGCATCTGGTAAGCTCCGCGTGATGGTCGGAGCACCTAGGAGATGCGATCTGAACACGCTTCCTGTGTCTGTTGAAACGAGAAATAAAAGAGGTGAAGATCCTCATCCGAGTTCAACTGCAAGCCTACCTCACTGCTAAAAAATTTCCATGAGGTTTGGGTGGATTAATGTACTTTCAGAATTCAGAATTATAATTTGGGCAAACAATAAAATAAAAATAAGAGAAGATCATATAAAGGCTATATTCGAAGAGATTGAAGTCAAAAGTCTGCTTCAAGATTTTCGCAGGCGATCAAATTATAGAACAAAAGAGGAGCATTGCACTGGTTCCTCAAGTACTATTATTCTTTTAGCAAAAAAAAAAGTACTATTATTCTTCCAAATTACTCCTTTTTTTCACTCCTTGTGCACTCATTTGAGCTAGAAAAGTTTGGAATTTAGAAAAATTATGTTGGTAAACCTTAACCTAGTTGGTAATTTAATTGAAGAAAAGTTGATTATTCACTCAAATAAAAGGTGGTAATTTCACGTGAGAGTTGGTAAAATGTAAGCTTTGGTAAGCAAGTCAAATAAAATGCAGATAATTTCCAAACAATCAAATAAATATCAACAAATAACTCAAATAAAAGCTGGTAATTTAATGGGAGATAAGTGAGTAACTCAAACTAATAGAGAAAATTACCAAAAAAGTTTTAAATATATTGCGATTGTGCCAATTTTATCTTAAATCCTTTTTTTTGGTCTAATTGAGTCTTAAACCTTTTGCATTTTTGTTAATTTAGCCCATTCGGCCAATTTTAACCGGAAATAGCTAACATGGACACTGGCTGTCCTACGTGGCATGGCCGGCGACCGGCGCTAATATGGACATTTTAAAATAATATTTTAATAATTTTTCGAATTTTTTTTTATTTTTTCTTTTTCCTGCTTTTTCTTTTCTTTCTTTCTCTTTCTTTTTTTTTTTCAACCCTTCTTCCTCTAGCTAGTCACTGGCGATTGGCTTGAGGCGAGGGTCAGCAAGGGCGAGCCTTGCCCCCCCATGGCAAGGCTCGACCTCATCGTTGCTAGGCGAGGTCGGCCTTGCCAGTGGCTCGGCAAGGCTCGACTTGGCTAGCCCGGTAATGATGAGCCTCGTTTGCCCCTAGCGAGTGACGGTAAGGTCGAGCCTCACTAGGGGTGTGGGAGGCTCACCCTCACCAATGGCTAGCGAGGTCGAGCTCGCGGCTGTCGCCTTGGGCTAGTCTTGGAGATATGGCGACCGGCTAGAGGAAGAAAGGAAAAAAAATCGAAAAATTATTAAAATATTATTTAAAAATGTCCACGTCAGTGCCGGCCAGCGTCCATGCTAGCGATTTTTGGCCAAAATTGATTAGATGGACTGGATTGGCACAAATGCAAAAGGTTTAGGACTGAATTGGCAAAAAAAAAAAGGTTTATAACCGAATTGGCACAATTTCAATAGGTTTATAACTTTTTTAACAATTCTCCCCAAACTAATATGAGTTGGTAAACTCGATGCATCGATAAGGTATACAAACAAGTTGTTAAAATAGTACAAAAGTTTGTAAATTGCAAACTAATATAGCTTGTAATTAATATCTTACAAATGTTTGTAAATTAATAATAAGTTACTGATAATTTATTTCGAACGATAATTTTTTTCACTTATTAACTCTTTTAGAAATTTGCGGCCGTAAAAAAAAAACCCTTCTTCTTTTTTTGGCAACGGAATTTAGAATCGGTCGCTAATGCGAGAATGTAACGAGGGAAAAACTTGATTGCCGACAGATCACTCGAAGAACATAGCCACGCGATGCTCCTCGATCCGAATACACACTTAGGTTAGAGATTAGATTAGCTATTCAATGGGTGTCAAATGCAAGAAAAAAAAATTAAATGATTCGAGTTGACCCTTCAAGAAAAAGCAATCATAAGCACAACCCATTGGTACAATCATCAAAAGAAATGATGCGATGAACTTACCTTGCTTGCATCTTATTCAAGAAGTTTGGTCCTTGCATGAGAAAAGCTATATGCTCTCACCAAAGAGTGGCCAACCCAATGTCCCTGGAGGCAATCCTGTCCTGCCATACCTAATCTCATTCCACTTCAACAGTGCAAAATGCACAAGAACACTGGCCACAATTAACCCTAGGGTGATCTAAAAGAGAGTCATTTTGTGTTCCCAGAGGTGACAATTTGACTTTAATCCTTCCCATAGTTAGATGGATTATATTGGAATTGAAACTGTATGCAAAACTGCAAATAGAAAAGAGAATATGTTTTCTTCTCTAATTACTCAGGATGTGGTCCGGCTACCAAGACGCCTCTAGAGGCTCATGGAATAATCCACATTACGAACTGCTTATGTCCATGCATATGGCTTATGCAAGTGGCTTGATTTAGAGTAGTTTCTACACTGTTGGTGGGATCTGAACATGTGAACTTCAGTATTTAAAGTAGAAATCTCCTAATGCTCCACTAATTACACCAACTCTAAGGGTTACAAAGGGAACAATATTTCTATAGAGCTATGCTCGGTTAGCTTAGATTGGTTATATAGTAAACGGAGGAAAATTGTCCAAAAAGTCCTAAACCTATTGCATTTTTGTCAATTCAATTATAAACCTTTCAATTTTGTCAATTGAGTCATAAATCTTTTCACATTTTACCATTTGAGCCCATTTGGCCAATTTTATCCGGAAATCGCTGACGTGGACGCTGGCCATCTTACATGGTATGGCCGGCGCTAATGTGAACAATTTTTAATAATATTTAAATATTTTTTCAATTTTTTTATTATTCTTAATTATTTTTTATTTTCCTTTTTTACTTTGCATTTTTTTTATTTCAATGTTTTTTTCTTTGTCGGCAAGGGTCATCGGCGACCCTCACCGACTGCGGAGGCCCAAACTAAGACTTTTGTCACTGATGTACCAGTTTGAAATTTTCCATGGTATTAACCCAAAAATTTATTCAAATCTTTTTCTTTTATTAACTCTAGTTATGTCTATTGTCGTATTCCCATGCTATGGATCCAAGTAATATAGCGCGGCATCTTCAATTGTAGTCCTATCTAAAATTTCAAATGCATTATGCTTTATTACTTTTATTATTAACTTTAATCATCTTATAAATATAATATTGGATCTATCAAAATGGGTCATAAATCCATTTCTTAACCCATATTTGATGGGCTGAGTTGTTATAGTTATATTTAGTAAATTAGTCATAAATAAGTTTAGAATGGTAAACCTTAAAATAATATGGATATTAAATGGGTTTACAATTTACTTAGACTAACCAACCTCTATGACTCTCTCTCGCCCTCACTTGATATTGCGTTCACTCACTCCGCGCTCTCATCTCAGTTTGGGTATGAGTTTTTCTCAATTGGGTTAAATATGAAAGTGTTTTAATTATATGGATTGGTTCGGGTATGGGTGACTAAATTTCTATTGCATGGAAATAGGTTAAAACGGGTTAAATGGATTAAATTGGGTTAGACCATTTTTTACTTGACCCGACTCACCAATTTGACAGGTCTATAACATAATCTAAACAAATTGCCTTTCGAACAAGCGCAAGCATGTATGCAAGTCATAATTGAAAATGATGGTAGTAGACTTCACTAGCAAACTACTGTCGAGTCATGTGGGAGTTGCAAATCAAATCGAATCGGCTCAGCTCAATATGTCTCTTAGCTCTTGACTTCCTCATTTTCCTACTAAACATGGAGACATGCTGCAGATCATTTGGCCAGTGAGACGTGCCACGAATTGAGTCATGTTATAAACATAAAATCGACGAGGTTTCGATGCCAAAAATAATTGACTCTCTTCACGCCGGGACCTTTCTTCTTCCCGAGAACGAGGCAAATGAATTGATAGCGCTTGTCCATCACACACATGCACTCGAGAGATGGAAAGAACTATTAAAGAATTGCAAACTGGTGCGCCTACAAAGTCAAAAGATCGGACCTTTTTCACATTGGTCTGTGATTTGCGAATGTCATCAAAGTTTACTCATTAATTTTATTTGGTATCAGATCTCGAATCATAACACATATCTTCAATAAAGCGACTCTAATGTTTACACCAAAAAATAAAAAACATTGCTCGTATTTTTTCTTGTATTGTTAGATCTACCGAGATAATTAAAAATGCGGTAGATTCTAGATAAATATTAGATGTGACCTGTTTATTGATGTCTATTTGCAATTTGTCGCGTCACTTTGCTTATGCTTATGGTAAACTTAGTCTCATGTAATAATTTTTCTCGCGGCGCTCAATTGTTCTCAATAATTAGCTATGAGGAGGGATCTTTAACTATCTGATTGAGAAGAAACCAAGAGAAGAATTTAGGTAAAAAGACAAGCAAAACAAGACAAACAATTCTGATCTGTACATCAAAGAGAAAGAACTAAAGGGGACTTCCAAAGATGCTGATCATCAGCAGGAAAAACAAACCAAAGCAAAAAGTCTAGGACGCGATACTGACAAAAGAGTATAAAAAATCAAGATTGATTAGCCGCAATTGAAAGGTACTAATTACAGCTCAAAATGCAGCACCAGAAACTGCTGTTGATGTTGCTGATCCTCTCTTGATGCTCTCAATACAAGTGGTCTCGTATACCGGCAACCCGCTCGAGCAGTAACCACCGAGGTCGTAATTCTGCAACTCAAACAGATCGGAGCTTGAGTCGCTCTCTGCGCCATCGTCTTCTTCTTCCTCATTGAATCTCTTCACGTCTGTGCTCTCCGATGCATGTTTCTCGAATCCATTGTTGCCGAAACTCTTCTTCTTCTTCTCCGAGCTCGGTTCTATCAGCTTGAACTTCTCGTCCAACCAACTCAGGTCGTTGCTTCTCTTGTTTCCTGAGACAGCTTCGTTTCCCAAGTTTGGCCCTTTCACGTGCTCGTTGTCGCGGTTATTCTTCGAAACCACCACTTGCTTGTGATCAGAGTAGCTTCTAAATTCCTTATAAGACTTGGTGGGAGTGTTTAGTATGTATGCTGGAGGAGTTTTGGACCCAGAGCTCAAAGAGGCATACACCGACTTTGAATCCGCCACAGCGCTCGAGCTCCTGAAATGGCTGATGCTGCTCCGCCTTCGCCGCCTCCACCCAGGGCTCTCGTCCTCATCCTTCATCGACTGCGATGAGGAAGGCTTCGATGATGATTTCTTCTTCTTCAAAGAGGACTGGCTGAAGAGGGAGTTCAAGAAGCTGGCGAGCCGCCCCCCAGGCGAGCTCGGTTGCCGCGGTTTGGAGATCTTGTTCTTCTCTTTCGTTTGCTTGTTCTCACTTGGGATGAGATGAAATTGCTGATGAGCGACAACTTGCTGATGTTGATGATGATGGTGGTGATGTTTCATTGGCACGTCTAAGCTCATTCTTCCCCCTCTAGAATTGGCTTGCCTTTCTTGATCTCTCACCATTGCCGCCTTTTGCACCGAGGTCGGGGCGTCGTAGCCGGAAACGACGTCGTTGTAGCCGGAGAAGTACCGGGCAGCCTCGAACACATCGAGCTCGCCGGAGTCATTCCTCCGGTGGAGCGATTTCCGGCTGATCGTCCTGTCGGCATCTGGATATGGAGTGATGGACATGACTACTGCCAGGGCTCCGATGTTCCTCTCTTGTTTTTCGTCTGTGCCCTTTTCTCGGAGGTTGCTGTGTTTCTAAAGCGTGGGAGGTACTTATGATGAGGAGAGAACTGTGGGGAGAATGGAGATCATAAGACTTAGAAAAGCGAGAATTTGTGAGGTTGTGTGGAGAGAAATAAATCACTGATGCGACTGTGAATGATTGAGAGGTGGGAATAAGGTGGCCTTCAAAAAATTGTTAGTTCTTCACTGTTCATAATACAGTGTATGATGAGTAATAATTGATTTCGATTGGTTAACGGGTCAAGTCAATCCACCTAATAACATACATTTACGAACATATTTGTAAGCTGTCATTTATGTCTGTCCATGGCATTATACAACGAGTCTATATAAAATAATTTTACATCATCACATCAAATATTGGGTAACCCTCTTATTTTTTCACTCATATTTTATGTAGTCCACGACGTTATTTAAGTTTTTCACGTATCGAGCATTCTATTTTCAGCCCAAAATCCGCTTACATCTGTATAAGGAGGCTAGCTTTAGAGGTTTTTGGACCACACATGATGGATTTTTCTTTTCTTTTTTGCTTTTTCCATCTATGAAGAAAGAGGTGTGGGGGCAGAAGGGAACAAGCTTTCATGATTTTATGCTTCTGAGATATGAATTTGCAGAAGTGATGTTGGGGAAGATGGGGGGCAATGATCTGTGAACAACCTTGGATTCTAGGGTTGGACTTTGGTTCTTAGTGGAATTGATGCATCTATGAGCAATTTGTACTGGATGGGGGCTTAGCCTTTGATGGTCCGGATGATCATGATAGTGATGAAGAAATTTTTCATGGTGTCCCACTTTGTTCTTTTTTCAGGAAAGACATTATGTGCTCCTATCTGTATCCCCTCCATGTTAAAAAGTAGTTGGAAAGTATATATCAGTGGTGTGGAATTGAAAAGAAAAATTGACAGTTTGGTCTTTGATTGAGAAGTTAGATAGACAGTCCACATTATTCGATTTGGGATTTTCTATGGCACAATATTGCACCGTGCAATTTTTCTTGCATGGCATTATTGCATAGAAATAGAACGAAATGTCGTAAAATAAGAAAAACTAACATTTTACTAACGAGGAAATGTCGGTTGCACGGTTTTCATTATTGTACTATGGACAATCCCCATTGAATTTTATTTTCTTATCCTTGGATTGAAAATTCTTAAGGAACAATGGGAAGATAAAAGCTTCCAATAGCCCATGCATAGCCTTTGTAAGAGAAATATAAATCGTACTGCTTTAGATCTAGCGAGGTAAATTCAAATTTACCTCCTTGGTCGATATATTAGCAATCGAATTGGAGGCCCAAACTAGGCTACATCTTCCAAAAATATCCTAATTTTATCAAAATATCTTCATTTTTGTGAGGAAAGACACCAATCAAAGTCCTAGTCTTAAATTCTCCCCTAGGATAATGATACAAATGGTTCCTAAATTTTGGTTCAATGATTTGTAATTCGTTCAATAAGATCCCTTAACTATTGGTAAATGTTGAATCTAGTTCCTATACTATATGAAAATATTCAATGGCATCATTACACTAATTCAAGTTAATGGAATCTGCTCATGTGGCTTCAAATCTGTTAAGTTTGAACAATGGACAATAAAAAAAAGTTACATGTAAATTATCCAAGTAAGATATTTATCTCAAATTAGGATATAATAATCCTGGTCATCATATATTGATGGGCATGTTCCATAATTTTTTTTTCCTTTTCTATAGTAGATGGATAAAGAGATGGACATTATTGACTAATCATTTTTAAAAATCTAATTCATCATATAAAATAATCCGCGTCATCAGATAACATCTAATTTGTCGTTTGAGCAAATAGAAGTTCTACATTGAACATTTACAAATAGAATTTGTCGTTTTTATGAATAGAAGTACTGTATTGACTAATCATTTTTAAAAATCTAACTCATCATATAAAATAATCCGCGTCATCAGATAACATCTAATTTGTCGTTGGAGCAAATAGAAGTACTACATTGAACATTTACGAATAGTTTATGGATCATATTGAACTAATTAAAATTACAATGACGACATTGAATATTGAGCCAAAGTTTAGGGACCATACCCTCTCTCTTTGGTCTATCTAACCCTCCCAGCATAGTACTCTTCTATGGGACTCTTTCTAACATAACTCACATATGTATCAAAACAATCTCCCCTTCACATGTGATCTTGTTGTTATATATACTCCTCCTGAATTTAGGTGTTCATCTGCACCAACATGTCTTAACTTAAATCTCCAACGTCCACCTTCATTTTTGGTTTCTTTCTTCAGACCTTACCATGAAGGGTGGCCATCAGTTTAGCCAGCTACACCACTTGCTCGGAAACGTTGGTCACCAGATTCATTTCTTGAGATATTCACCAAACACTAATACACATTGGAAGTAGGCTACCAATCAACCATCGACTCTTATACCATTTGTTGGAAACGTGCAATAGAAGCCTGATATCTTTACTTGGGAAGATCGTCAAGAGAAAGCTCAAGTGTGAGTCCGTCAACATATTTAGTTGGATTCACCTTCACTTAAAAGTTTCATTCAATGAGTTATGGGCCAACTAAGATATATTAACTGTTATACACCATATCAATTCTCTGATGTGGGACTTTTTAAGATAATTCATACGTGCATCTCAACAATACATAGATGAAGAGTGTGTTTATTTCGAGCAAAACTTCATAATAATTTCTATGGAAAATGGTTAATTTTCGTTTATTGGTGGTGTGCTGAAAAAGTGTGTTTGTAAATGTTTTCAGGTGTTGGGATTTCGTCTGGACAGTGGGTATTGAGTTTTTGTGAGTTAGTGTGTTTGTTCATCAGCAAAGAACTAACGAAGAGTGCACCTTGAAGAAGGTGAAAATGGAACCAAGCCTCGGCAAAGAAAAGTGAAGAAAGTGAAGAAGAGCGTTTGTTAAGAGAATTTTATACTTCAAAAAATGATTTACCCTATTTAGAACTGGAAATCCATTTTCCTAATTTTAAGTATGGATATTTTCAATGACCATAAATATTTTTTCGTTGACTAATCACTTTCAAACCAAGCGCGTGAAAGTCCGGAAATCTAATTCGCAGAAAATTCTGTCATTGAAACCAACACAACCGAAGCTTACATTTTCACTAAATGTTCGAATGTCATTAGTAAATGAAGGTATTCCCTCTGACACTTTTCGCAAATTTGATTGTGCTTCTAATACGGTGGATCATATGACGTAAGTATACCGAATAAACATCCAAAGAAGAAGTCATACAGCAACCCATCCTATGCGTGAATATATTTTAGTGCATCCAAGTCCTGAAACATTAAAGGTTTTTTGGCACTAATATCGACTTCTTTTTCAAAAAGCAAAGCAAACCAAGCATGGCCCAGTAATATTTGCATGCCTTCCACTTACCACGCCGGTGATGGAGCCTTTAGAAAAAGGAGTGTGCTCCTAATTTGCATCTTCCTTGATCTCTGTGTCTAAAACGGCTACGACTTCTATTTATCTAGATACAAAAATTAGAAATGGAATTGATGAATACCTAGCTATGTGTTCGTCTGGCTTCGAGCCACCTTCAACTCTACATCTATACTGTAATGCAAAATAAAAAGAACCTCTTATCTTTAAGATAAAGATTAAGTTCGTTGGAAGTTTTAAAACTTGTCACGAAAGTATAATTGAGTCTCAAATCTTTCAAATAGTGCAACCAAATCTTAAAACCTGTCAAGTTAATGCAATCAAGTCCTTGCATTAACTCTGTCTAACTTAATAAACGGAAAATGCTAGCAAGTTTTAGGACTTGATGGTATCGACTTGATAAATTTTAGGACTTGATTTCACCTTATGAAAGTTTTAGAACATGATTGCACTTTTATGATAAGTTTCAGGACTTGATTACTCTTTTGTGAAAATTTTAGAACTTAATTGCATTTTTGTGACAAGTTTTAGGTTTTTCAGCGCACTTGTCCCTTTAAGATATCTCAATCTTTTTTCCCCCAAAACCGTATCCCCTGTCGGCATATGTGTAAGTCAATAATTCTATTTTGATCTCTCACTTGTTTCCAATATTAAAATTTATATTTTTTCCATCCTAAAACAACCTTCCCGAATAGTTCAAATCTTGAAATATCTTTATCTTTCTACATATAATTATACAGTTTCTTTGTATTGTATATATTTGTCTATATAATTTATCTTCACTATTAAATGATTTGAATATTACATAAGAAAGTAGTTTCATTTTATCTTTCAAGTGTCATTTTTTGTACACTTGCAATGCATGTGCACGTTTCTTACTAAAAAAGATTTAGAAGGTGCCGCATGCCAAGTTTGACTAGGAAATAGGATATCATTTTTACGCGAAGCATTTAATGGGCGTGAGATATATTAATGGGCTCAAATTGAACTCCAAATGTTAATAGCTCAAATTCGAGTTTCTTTTTGGCAATCTCTCGAGTATGAAAGTACAAATGGTTCTACTACTCGCTCTCAACAAGTAGCATCGGAGCTCATGACCGATCGCATGAGCCGCACCCTTAATGTGTATGTACATTTTGTGCATATCTCATGGAAGAAACATCGGATAAATCTTGAATCAGGTGGCAAATGGTGAATCAAGAGGAGTTGGAATTTGGTTATTGCCGAGTTTGGTTAGGTCAAGATGGAGATTTGAGTTGAAACATGGTTCAAAAGGATATCTAAAGTAATCTAACATCAAAGACACACACGAGGAGAGATTTTGTTAAGATGCAAGTGTGGGAATGTTGATGAAGCAAAATCACACGTCCAATAAATTATGTGAAACAAAGCAATTCAGCAATTCTGGGGATATTAGTTTGCGCTCCAACTATGTGACTTCTTAGAATGTCTTAGAGTTTTGCTAACACATCAAGATTTATTTTTTAGGAAAAATAAGAAGTACCATCAATGATCAACAACTTTAATAAGATAAATGAAAATTTTCTGATAGAAAAAATTTTGCTATGTCTTGTTTGGAAATTGCTTTGAAATGACGAGGATGAGAAACAAAAGAAAAAGAAAAAGTGAAAGGAACTTTTGACTATAAAAGAACAAGATCGAAAGAGATAAAAAGAAGATACTTATTAAGTACCTCGACAGAGAAACATCTTTCTTTTTTGATAATTCAGTGACATGACCGCATAGACCTGACTAT